TAGCTGTGTTAACACCCTGAAAGCTAGAAGCCACAATTACGAAGGTAAAGTGCAAAAATAATTCTGATATGTTTTTGTCCCCAACACGTCACTGACCCTAAACCTTTCATCAGTGGGGAGGAAAGAGACTATTTACATGTCTGATGGTAGGTAAGCGTGTTTTTTCAGTTACAGCTCTCAGCTTAGAAACACACATGCACATAGACATTTTCTTAAACCAGTGACCAGCAGTTGCCTTGCATACATTTTTTGGGGCAAATATTTGGAAGATACCAAAATGAAGAAGTCAAACTAACTAGTTAACTACATTTCCGATTCCAAAGCACCAGAACACAAAATATTTGTAGCTAGAACTTGGCAAGTTGGACAAATCCATCCAGAGAGTTTGTGAGGGAAGGATTAAGCGACAACACGCATGAAATAAAACAAGACTGTTTCAAAATTCTTGCACAATTATTCCTCTTGTTTTTGCCATCATTATTGATTATTACTAATGCAACAGGTAGCAAAGGAAGAATCTGATGTATTATCATCGCCCTCCTCTTCTAAGGGTGTCATCAAGCTGCTTGTACGTCTCTCCTTCCCCAGAGCGGGTGAGTGAGCGTGTATCATGGAGAAAGGGCCAGATTACCCAATCAATCTTCCTCAGAAAGAGGGAGAGAGAGAGCGAGAGAGCGGGAGAGTGTATGCGTGAGAGAAAAGCAGAGAAATAAACTCCGCCAGAGTCGACCTCCTGGTCCATAAAGCAGCCCGCCTTATCACGGCCATCAGTTTGGGCGATCCTGTCATTGACGTCACGCGGCTGATTACTGAAATGACTGCGTAAACACGGGCATGTACTGAAAAAACTGCTTCCCACTGTGCAGCATAAAGAAAATATTTACACTGGTATAAGACAGAGGATAAGAGAGGAGGCCTGAATTTCAGGGATTTTAAACTGGCTACAGGGATTTAAGCCACACTTCTAGAGGCTCAATCTAAGAGGTTAGAGACTGAACAACACCGTTTCATCCAAAATGTCTCTCTGATAGCAGAAATAATAGCGTTCGATAGAATCGTCGAGGTCTCTGCAAGGCCTTTAAAAGCTCTGTCTCTTACGTTTATTCTATTAATTCCCTGCAACTGCGAAGTGAACGTGTTCTCTGGGTTTGGGAACCAAGAAAAGGGGTTAAGATTAGAGCTTGGAATATTTGTCTGGACGCAACCGAGACCAGACGATCCACATTTGGTCAGGTTTGGACATCATTTCTCTAATATCCGTCAGGCTCAGGTCGGGCTCAGATTTCACAGAATGGTGTAGAAAATGCGCCAGATTCAAGTGACTAATAAGGACAAAGAGGGAAAGAGAGAGGGAAGCATGTCTGTTTGGGCTGGGAGAAAGCAGTGAGTCAGTCGTTATGGAGGAGAGCAGCAGGTGAGAGAGAGAGAGAGAGAAAGAGAGACAGAACGAACAACAGAGCCAGATGGAGGTACACAGTGCAAACAGCTCAGCCGACAGACCCCTCAGTCTCAAAGCCAAGTGGAGGGAAAAGGTACAAAAGTGTTCGGCGGAGCCGTGTCGGCCCATAACCCAGCCAAGACCTTTAGAAAGGCCTTTAGAAACTCAGCAGTGGGCCCCACTGAACAAAAACCCGAAGACACAGGAGCCGGGTCAAAGGCTCACTATTGGAGATTTTGTGTGTGTCGATTTTCAGATTTCAAAACCTTCACAGCAACAATGAACCCTCCTTAGTATAAATAAGTCAAAACTACAAAACACGCCTTGTGGGCTGAACGATATTTTCACAAATATGCACGGGCACTGCGCACGGTCATTCAGTACCGATGCCCATCAAGGCACTAGCGTGTTACAGGCACTAGGAGGCGATAATGTAACCAAAGCAAACCTATAAACAGCAGCCCTGAGAGAGAAAATGGTCAGAAAATGTAAAAAGTACGAAAGAACATTTTATTCCGCACCTGATCAGTGTTTGCTTGGCCCTGATTACCCATAAACAGCTTCGCTACACGAAAACGTTTATGTGCAAAACAGCCGTGAGCCCTGAGCTACAGCGGAGCAGCGAGACGACCCCTCACAGATCCAGCAGCGGTTACTCTGGGACAGCTCTGATGAATGGTGCTGGATGGTGGACTGTCTGCACCGAGCTCCAATCAATGCTCATTACGCTGGGGCTGGGAGACTCCGCCGTAGCGGAGGAGAGGAACCGGGCGCCTCTGGCATTCTGGCATTTGGAGGTGTCGCGCCGCGCAGCTCCGGGCCGGCGGCCAAAGCCTCCAATCCCACCAAATCCCTGGCTTAGCCCCTCAACCGCTCCCGGGATTAGGAGATTAGAACGCTGTATTCCATTATCTCCCCGAAGGCTGGGAAGAGCGACAGGGCGGAATTCTCGACAGGGCGGAACTTTTGCAGGGCCACGTGAAGATCCCGCCCCGCCAAGATTGAGCCAGCGAAGATCAAGTCCCACAAAGATTCAGCCCTGTCTCCGGTCCAGGAGAAGGTATGAACGTGTAGGAGTGATGCAGAAGGACAGACTGACCCACAGACGGACACAGAGGGACAGCATAAAACATCACTGGTTATTCTGTGGGCTTTGTGGTACTAATATTGCCACAATATGTAAAAAGTCCTCTATCAAATCTAGTTAGATGATCGTGACCAATCTCAGTTCCAGAACAGTGTTACTGTGGACAAGGGGATTGACACTGCCTACTGTCCGGTGCCCTGACCATAACATCTCACATTTTGGCCATTAAATGTTATATGTTTAAATATAAATATAAATACAAATACATATATCGCTGTTGGAGATACACGGCTTTGTTCCAACAGCAGCAACATTTACATTATATATATATATATATATATATATATATATATATATATATATATATATATTCTGCATTTTTCTTCCCTTTTAACAAACCTGCTTGGCTGAAAACACAACTAACTGCTAACTAACTAAATCAGATTATGTTGGAATTCATCAACTGTATACACTGCGATAGTTAATGCGATGGCGTGGTCCGCCTGCCAAGCTGGTCCGCTGGCTGAAGGCACTACACCAACAGGCCATCAGTGTAGCAGCTAAACAGTACATAACAAAAGCTAAATCACACATCAGGGCGGACCACCACAGTCACAACGGCAAAGTTCTTATTAATGTAATTTTTTTTAAAATAAACATTTATTAAGCAACACCAGACTGTTTTTTGCAAAGAGCCATGCTTAATTGTTTATTATACATTAAATGTATGTGTGATTAACATGTTTCTATTACCGTAGCCATGAATTCCTCATCCGTCTACCCTTGATTGTGGGTGTTTTGATCAAAAAATAAATGTAATCCAACCAAAATAAATTAATTTTTGAGAAAATAAATGCACTCCAGTAATGTATCGCAAGGCCTATTACTATTGCAATGTATAAGCAATATAATCCAAGCAATTTGTCCATATTGTGCAGGTCTAACACACACACAGCCATACACACAGCCATACACACAGAGAGCTGCCACCCAACAAGAGGGAGCGGAGGGATTGGCCTAAGACCATCATAAATCACCCGACTCAAGGTCACGCGAGTGGCCGAAAAGACCTTGCCAAGACAGACGCACCGAGCACAGCGGCGCTCAACACACACATACGCGCACACACAAAAACACGCACTCACACGCGCAGCAAAACAGCAGCTTTAAGCAGATAAATGAAAATCTTCAGAGAGCTTCACTGATTAAAAAAAAAGTGTTAACTCTCAGTTGTGATTAGAGCGCTTAGTTCAACGCTTTGGGAAAATCATAACACTTACACTGGTGATGAAAGAGCGGCCTATATTAATCATATTTAACCAGGATTTAACAAATAATAAACTCTTGGCTCATTAGCAGTAAAAAAGCACGATCTGGCCCTGATAATTAGAGGAGTACAAAACCATTTCAAGTTGTTAGTGGTGCAGTGGAAGAATCATCTCTGTGTATTCGATTTGTCCATTAAACAGCACATTCGGTATAGATACACAGCTTAATTCAACCAATACAGCAGGAGCACAACACTATTTTCAAAAGGCCATCACCAATACAAAACACTGTGTGAAGCCATTTAAATTTACTTAACTTTTAATTTGACATTTTCAGGCATATTATAGTTCCACCCACTGCCTTTAAATGGTGCAGGATTCAGGACAAGACAAGCTCAAGGTCATAAAACAGCAAGGTGTATGGAGGGAGTTCACGTCCTCCGCACCATTACTGGCTAAATCCCATTTGTTTGGCCTCTGTTCATTTGTTTGGATTTACCTGTTTCCTCTAGAAGCAGGAAGACATGCACCACCAGTGACAACCAGATAACTGAAAAGTGGAAACCACAATTTCTAAGCCAGGGTTATTGCCGTTTGCTCAACGGATGACACCGCTGAAGTGAAGAGACTCTAAGCCGTCATTCAGGATATTTGTTTTCGATTGCATTTGAATAAGCTTTTTATTCGGTCTAACCACACTGGGGCGTCATTCTCTTTCACTGAGGCTTTCCAGCCCAGATACAACAGACTGTTCATTCCGCCTCCCCGTCCTATAGAAATATTAAATCTGTAAATGTAAAGCATTCAATATGTTAATCAGATTACATGTCTGTCAGTGCAAATTAAAAAGCGGTGCAAATTGATGTTTGTCGAGAAGCCACTTCATCAAAGCTGCTACGAGAAACGGCAGCAGGAACGTCGTGCACTTCACTCCTTAATGCAAACTATCAACGAGTGAGAGCGCGCAGAAAACAAGCAAAAAGCACACCGAAGTGTCGGCTCAGGCTCATTCAAACAGCACACCAACCTCACTTCACTCCCGTTTACCTTCATTCACCACCGTTAACCCACCGCGGCATCACAGCGATGCTCTCCGCGCTCCAAAGTCTGCAACAAACTCATCACATATGCAACCCAATGGACTCGTCTCGCCCACCTGGACCAGCACCAACAGCAGCAAGGATTGGTGGATCAGTTTGTTACTTACGTAGTCATGGAAGGCCTTGGCCTCACTGGAATGCTCACAGGTTTCGCGTCGGTCCGGAGCCGCGCAGTACAGGTCCCAGAATACACTGCAACGACACAGCAACATCATTAACCTCTTCAACTCCTTGAGACCACCGGTGCTTCCAAAACGCACTTCGTCATATTCTTCATAACTTTCATATTTCATAAGCTACATTCAAAAGGTGGGGGTCGTAACTGTAACTGTCTTCTTTCCAGTCAAATAGATGGGTGATGTAATTTTAAACCCTTATAATTGAAGCTGAACTCAGAATTTTTTTTGTCTACTGAAAGTCGACTCATTTTTCCACAAATCTGGGCTATAAACTATAAGCAGATGGCGTCTCTTCAGTGATCTGCTCTGTAAAAATTATTTTTTTTTAAATTATACAAAGAGCGTCTAAGATTTTTGGCTTTCAGCAGTAAATTGTAAGCATATAGCGATACGTGTATGATCATAAAACACATGCTCTGTTAATTTGAGGGGAGCTTTTACAAATAAATAAATAAATAAAATAAAAATTCACATTTATTTCATGCAGTTACTGAATAATTTGCCTTATGATTTGGTCATGTGAATTCAGATGGACAAACCAAAATATACCCTGGTGAATAAGAGGTTAAAAACACAACAACACATTTACAGGTTTATTTTGACAAAAACAATATCACACATTTAGACACTCAACACTCGAATCCTTCAGTTGCTCAAACCACCTCTGAGGCTAACAGATTTTTTAATATATGCTGTCAATCATTATTTACACAAAACCTCCTTTTTGTGTCAAAGATGCAGATATCCTTGTGTCAAGGGCCAGTGTCTTCCTTCCAGTGCCAGTAATAACAATAACAGTTCCACCTTTTTTTTTACCTTTTATTTGACAACAATGAAGCTGTAACTCATGCACTATTACTGTGTCCACTTCAGAGTCAGAGATTATCTAAAAACTGCTGAAAGAAAAAGTGTTGCCATTGTCTTTGTCGCTGATGTGTCCAGATAAACAGCATCAGGAGATGCGTTTACAGAGATAACACCACCCCCACCACCAAGAATAAAAACAGCAATATTTTTCCCTCTGACAATTTTCAGATGAGCCCTTACTCTGAAACAGATGGGAACCAAACAAAGCAAAGATTAATCTTCATCAAATAAAAGAACAAAAACCCCTCAGTTCAGTAAAAGTTATGGTTGTAGTAGACAGTCATCTTTAATGTGGCCACCGTAATTAATCCAGTAATAAAGAACGGCACTGAAAACGTCACACGAAGTTCACTGCCTGATGCTGTGATCTCTGTAGCTGCTTAGCTTAGCCTGACTGGACGAGAGCTGAGATAAGACAATGTGTTTCCCAAGAGCCGAAGCCGTTCCCTCTGATGTCTGAAACTTGCTGCTGTGGTCTGAGGATGTCCTAAAATACACCCCGCAACACAAGCAGCATTTTGAACAGGCATGATATCGAGCGTGTTCAACCAGCGCAGCACAATAAATGTGGTTACCATCACTGGAGGCTGTTACCTCAGCAGCTCTGTCGACCATCACTGAGCACAGGCCTAAAAGATTTCTAATCTGATGAACGCTGAGTCTTGAAAATGGCAGGAAATGGCAATTTTGTGTTAACAAAACATCTGCAGGTATTTTAATTGATAACAGAAGTTTCGAAAAGAAAGTAGCGTGTCCCCAAACTTTTGACACCCACTCTATAGGACACACACACACACACACACACACACACATAACCCAACCTGGATATTCCAAGGATAAATACAGGGCCGAGTGTCAATACTCTGCCTAATAAAAAAAGGAAAATTATGTACTGGGAGTGTAACTACATGGCTGTGGGTCTGTAAAAAAAGGAAGCCTAATCAAACATAAGCAGTGCTTGTCGGACAAAGGTCCAAAACCCTCGCTCTCTCCTGCAACTCCCAGCCCACTTGGCACAAGCAGCGGGTTACGGATCAATTAAGCCAGGGATTTCCTCAATTAAGTCCACTCAGGTCCTTCAGGGCTGCTGGGTGGGGGGGGGGCATGAGGTTTCCTTCCAAATGGCATTTTAATTACTGCACTGAAACTAAGTACCTGTTTAACACATCCAAATTAGATCACTCCTGGTCTTCAGATATCGATTTAATGGATATCTCGTAAACCTACTGAAAAAAAAAGGGCTGGAGAGGGCTAAAGCTAAAAATGACCCTCGACAACATTTTGTAGCATCTAAACCAGATTTGCTGGATGGGGTCAGAGACGATGACCGGTTTTAATGGGTAGCATTAAATACCTGTGTTTTAGCGAACCAGCTTCTGTGATTATGATACTTCAGGTTTTTGAGGTTGACGATGATGATTTCAGAGCTCAAATGTGTTTTTTTTTTTCCTTTCCTTCCTCTCTCTGCTCTTTGAATGTTTACTGGGATGAGGAACATTCCAGAACATTTGGAGAGCACGTAAAGGAGCAAGGCAGGAAAAGAGAGGGAGAATCAGACCCTTTCTGGGTGGGGGTTGGGGCCATTAATGGGTAAAGGAAACCAAAAACAGACATGGAAGAGAAGGAGAGAGAGAAACAGAGAGGGAGAAAGAGGGACAGAGAGTGAGGAATTATAAAGAGTCCACAACCAACATCTAACAACGGCACTAAAAGCTTTATCACAACCGTAGTGGACGAAATGCTCCCGAAACCAAACAAAATAACTACCTAAATCTACTCCGAAACTAAATACCGTCACCAAAACTACTCAAATATAACAGTCAGTGGGGTAAAGCTGGCCTTACACGGTGAAACTTCCACGCAACATCATTTGCAACACAAAAACGAATCAAAGTTGCAAGCAACAAACTCAATTACTCCACTACATAGTGAAGCCAGCAGCTCATATGTTTTGATACACATTTTTGTTTTGCTATAAACTCACACATACTGTGTGACTCCTGTCCAAGAAGCTTCATCACAGACTAAACTTCTGTCTCCCCTTCTGTAATAATTTTCATCCTCTGGATCCCAAATGAATCTGAGCTCTGTGTAAATATAGGGGGCATTAAGAGATGAGAAAAATTAATCCAGCTACATATACCATGATATCAGCAGGCTGAAGAAGAATACAGCGCGGCCCAAGCAGCCGTTTAAACGGCTCGTCCCCCTTGGAATTATAAGGTTCTCTGACATTTTTGTCAAAATTGAAAGTTGTATGCATTTTTGGATTCTTTACGTAGAAAGCAATGAAGTCAAACTTTGTTTACTAGGCTCTATTTGCGAGCCAATCAGCACTTGGAATACACACAAGAGGACCAAGAGGACTGGACGAAATATTTAGCACTGACCTTTACACTTAATCTGCAATACTTTTTCGAATAAGAAAAAGATGATTTGTCCCAAAACAAGAAATAAATGTGATTTTAAAAAATAAATAATAAAATTAAATGTCATAGAAAGCACTAAACTGAACTTTGACAGTCTGTTTTAAAACAAATCATGAGTAAATCTATTGTCAGATAGAACCTTATAATTCCAAGCAGAAAGTGAGTTCTTAATATTAGAAGGTTCTTTCGGCATTTGAGAGGTTACAAAATTACAAATGTGATAAAAAATTTAATATTGTCCATTTATAATAAATTCAGGGTGTCTGTCATTTGCATGTATGAACCAGGCATGTTCCACATATTACTCCTGCTATTTGGAATGCAAAATCTTTGAAGCTCAATCTCTCAAAACTGCTCAGAACGCAGACAGAACCTTATAATTCCAAGGGAACGAGCTGTTACTGTTAACCAGCTAGTTAAACCAGCTGTTTACAACAATATTAGCTTTAAAAACTCACATTTGTTGTCATGGCTTGGGTAAAATGAAATCTTGGATAAAATGAAGACCTACCAACCTACTTGGGGTCCACTTTAACCCTTCAATAAACCATCTTCTCTTTTATTTTCTTGTCCATAGCCCAATATAAACAATCACTTGAAATTATGTCATTTAATGTGTTCACGTTATCTACATTCTGATTGGCTGTTTCATGAAACTTGTTCCATGAAGCTGTGACACTTGCAACAGTTGTGGGTGAGTTTCAAAAGAGCTGCAGGACGCTTTACATTTGCAGTTCAGTTTCATGTCGGTTTCAAACAAAGTTGCCCAAGTTGCATAGAGGTTTCATCATGTAAAGCCAGCCTGAGAAGAATGACCAAATTTTGATCTTTCAAAAGATCAACAGCAAGAGAGATAAATACTGAAAATATTTCAACACAAATAAATAAAATTTAGTGTGTTAACTGCTGATGTGATACTGGCCTTCGCAAGCCCGAAATCACAGAAGATACAATATGCAAATGAGGCATCGGCTAATCAAAATGTTTTCACCGTGCTGTGAGTATCTCAACCAATCAGTTCCAGACGTGTCTCTGTGGGCGAATTCAAGAATCAAAGTAAATGATTTTGGTAAAAATAAAACATCTTGATGTCACAGGTCACATTATTGGTTCACCTAAGCTTTTTAAACATATTGCACAGCTTATTTCACTCTTCACAAATGCGGCAGTATAATCTGAATACTCAGTAAACGGTCCAGCTCATGCAGCTTTGCTTAGAACATAAAAACTACGCCATCGGTTTGTCTGTGCTTAACTCCCCAGCCGCTATATTCCCACAGGCTAAGCTCAAAACGCTCCCTGCGGGCTGCCTCAATGACACAACGGTTGCTTCTTTAACAACTGAACAATGCGCCGACAATGGGCCAAGCTAAAAGAATAGCTCTAATGCTAATTGGAGGAGCTGCATTTTCATGTCAATTACTCCTCTTTTTGCGCTCGGCTCTATCTAAGGGCACTAAGCCCAGCTCCTGAAGGCAGGAAACAACAGGGGACAAAGCAGGCTAATATCCCTACATCCCTTCTTCTATGGAGTTTACAGTTGTCTTTTGCATATGTATGGTGTCTCTTCATTTCCATGAGACATACTGGAGACGATCCACTCCCTCAGGCCAACAGTGAACACAGGTATGGCACAGCACTGCTCCCAACCCCAATCTGAAACGGTTAACCATGAATGAAAAATAATAACAGCAGAAAACTGCCTAACGTTGTCTAGCTAACAGTACTGGGATTGAACAGATGCTGATGTTGCTACAGTAAGTCACATATAATTGCAGGAAACCTCATGGCTACACAGACAATAGCTTTTGTGGTTCAGATACTAGGAGAAAATACAATTACAGATGCTACGATTAATCGAGAAGCTACTAAAGGCCGGTAAACTCCATAAGGCTCATTCTACAGCTTCTACGCTCGGCTTTGCTTAACATTCCCAAAGGAGGCGATTGATAAGTTTAATAAGTACCATTATTTGGTTTCCAGTATTAATCACCAAGATGTGATGCATGCTTACATAACCGTGACATACTTGTGATGACTATCACATCATCAGCTTGTTGGCATCACCCAGCCCTGTTTTTACCAATAACAAGTTTAAACAAGTGAACAGTCATCGGCTGTAACTTTTTATTAATATGTTATCGAAGCAATAAGGGTGAAATATGAACACTGGGATATTAGAACTGAACCAGAGCCATAATAATATAAATCTCGAGTTCAAATGAAATGTTTTCACAATTCTAAACAGAGATCAACAGACTATTTGTACTGACTTCATAAGCAAAGTCTCACACAATGATGATTATGGCAGGTTTAAGGCCGATGACTAATCATTTAAATCATTTTTTCATGAACCTTTCATTTAAGTACACTAGCAGGCCAATCAGGAGGCAATCAATAGGCTCAATCCCTTAATTAAGCCAAGAGAAATAAAGGTTAAGTGAGCCGGTCAGTAGCAGCAGCAATTGATCTGTGCACAAATGATTGAGGGGGAACGGAGCCTCCTTTAATCGAAAGCTGCTTCCATGGTATTCCCTCCTTGTCCCTCAGTGACCTATGCAGACCTATAGGCTGTCGACCCTGCCAGCCACCTAGCCTAAACCCAATGAGGGCCAGACTGAGGACAAGAAAAAAAAAACTCACGGCAGGGAGGTGGGGATTTGGTCACTGAACACAAAGGAGAGTGGTATGCAAAGAGTTAATCCGCTCGGGGTCCTTCGCCGGAAACAAAAGGACATGGCCAGAGACAAAGGTTGGCGGGGGTGAGAATGAGGCGGGCTCCGCCTTCACCACACCATCTGGGGCTTTTGTTTTCAGGGGGCAGGGCAGGAGAGGCAGCCAAAAAGACCCAGCAGACACTGCCTCTGTTGGCCCAGCTGACCTGGGGACCCAGCCAGCGCTATTGGTCACGTACAGGCCACCTTCTGATGACAAGCTGGACGTTTTGCACTGGACTAAGGGGTGCTAAGAATGCATCCATTTATCATGACGGATCTATTTGAAGACAGCGAATCAACTGCAACAATTTGGGAACATTGGACTTGATCATAATCGATTATAATGAAACTCAATCTTTGAACTAACCTTTTTTCCTGAGCCAAAATTAAATTATATTTTCAAATACAAAGCCCAAAAAAGGAAAAAGCCTCCCTATAATCCACTACTCTGTGGATCATCAAGGTATTTTTATACTCCAAAAATCAGAACAAAATCATGAATTTTCAGACGTCAATTTGTTTTCAAAGGACTGTAATCAAATCCAACTGAATTGTGGTGAAATCTGAGATTTCATGACGCACTGAATCACTTCCTAAAGAATCACAGCCGAATCGAATCACGGTGAAATTCGAGATTTCCTGATGCGCTGAATGGCTTCCCAAAGAATCATAATTGAATCTGATCATGGTGAGGCCAGAGATTTCCACTCCTTCGCTGGCCTACGCTCAGCATAAACGCTGTGAAAGATAAATAAAGGAATGGACACAGCGTATGAAGACACAGGCCTCACCCGTGGAAGTGAGAGTGAAAGATATCGTTGACTTTATCTGCTCATTTCTTTGGCTGGAACCTCTTTATTCAGATATCAGCAGCAGACACAAAGCTGTACACAGGTGCTGAGAAATATGATTCTCCAGGGATTAAGAAATCAATGGCTTTAATCAATATCAGAAAAAATAATAATCATCAGGTTCCACAATGTTTGGAGGGGGGAGAGAAAGGAGAAAGTAAAGTAGTAGGACGTACCACCACCATGAATGCAAGAATCCTGGGGGCTCTCCTAGAGTAATGTTCTTCTCCCACCGAATCTGAAACAGAAAGGAGTGAAAGAGAGAGACGACGACATCAATTAGGGCTGAACAATTAATCGTTTTTATATCAAAATCACAATTTATCAGAGTGCAAGAGCTGCAATTTTTAAAAAACGATAGCCTATATTATCAAATATAAATGGGGAAATTTAATCTCATAACACAGAGCTTGTGAGCTGCTGGTGTTAGACCAATCAGTGCCAACCAAACCTCCATGTGTTGTGACATCACAACCACAACTTACTGGCAGTCTTACACACTACATTCAGGGATCAAGGCTCAAGCCAGACAAGGTGGATATTCTGGCCAAAAAACATGCCTGAACCTTAAATTATATTAAAAAAATAAATAAATAAAATTATTATAATCGCAATTTAAATCGTGGTTGCAATATTAGTCAGGAAAAATTACAATTATATATGTTCCCTAAATCGTTCAGCCCTAACACCAACATATTAACAACAACAAAAATAAATTCTAAACTTGTTCTGTCTTCATTAATGACTTGTAATCTTATAAATAACTCTTCTTCTTTCATTTGCTCTACATTTCTATTCTTCCTTATTTTTGCTATTCTGGCAGCGACGTAACCTGTAACATTCACTCTAATAAAGCACTGAATTCAGAGAGAGAGAGAGACAATTCACCTCTTTAACTCTGTGGATCCAAAACGCACTTCGTCATATTCTTTACTTCATAACTTTCATATTTCATAAGCTTCACTGAAAAGGTGGGTGTCGTACGAGAGCTGTAACTGTCTTCTTTCCAGTCAAATAGATGGGTAATTTAATTTTAAAACTTAATAATAAAAGAAGCTGAACCTACAAATGTGTTTTTTCTACTGCAAGTTGACCCCCAAACATCTGAGCTATAAACTGGATCTCAGATGGCGTCTCTTCAGTGAAATGTACTGTAAAAAAATTACTTTTCTAAAAAAAATACACAAGCGTCTACGAATTTTGGCTTTCAGTGGTAAACTGTAAGCACATGGCATTATGTTTATGATGATAAAACACATTTTCTGTTAATTTGAGGGGAGCTTTTACAAAAATAACACCAACACTTTACATTTATTTCATGCAGTTACTGAATAATTTAGCTTAGGATTTGGGTATGTAAATTCAGATGGAAAAACCGAAATATATCCTGGAGAATAACTGGTTGAAGGTGGTCCGAACACACTCCTCACTGTGCCGTGTTTCATTCAGCCACTCCTCGATCCGACACAGACAAAACATACTGTCTCATTCTTTCCCTGAACAGACCCCTCAGCTTCTGCTCTGTTTGTTTACTACCGAGCACTTTCCAATACATGCTGTAAAGTCAGGGCCATCTTCCTCAGTCATTAAATGAATACTCCAGCGTTCTTCAACCCAATCTCTATCTGCCACATCTATAAAGTACAGTCATTTACTGTGGACTATTTTTTTGTACTTAGAAAAGGAAAGAAAACCCAAAATTCAAAACTCGATTTGCGACACAACGCTCAAAATAGCCAGTGGGCAGGTGCTGAGGCTATCGAGGAACACTACAGCATTCCTTTAAGTGCTCAAAACAGACAGCCTGTTCCTTAAGACGTGCTGCCCAACACCTTGACCCTATAAATATTTCCCTCTTCAGCTTTCAGGAAGTTTCAACTCCAAACTCCCCTCTCTCCGACCGGCATTTTTCCCCATTCCTCTCCTGTATATGTGCAAAAAGGGCCAGAGCTGCTCTCATTAAAGACATAATCTCCCTTTTGTAATGGGTGAGCAGAAGGACCAGCCTGTGTGTGAACAGAATTAACCTATTATAACCATTATACACGGATGATTAAACAGGAAAATGTAACCAGAAAAAAAAAAAAAACTATGATAGAGATCCAGAGGTTTGTTCACTGCACCTCAAAAGAGGATTACTGGAGTGGATCTTAAGGTTAAGAACACATTATCAGTCAATTTCACCTTGTCACACTTCCAACAGGCCTGATAAAAATCTGACCAGTTTGCTGCGGCGATTTTTTGAGACGCAAGTGTAGAAAATACTGCCACAGTGCAAAGATGCCTCAGACTCAGAGGTGTGTAAACAGTTCCCAGCCCATATAACTGCAGATTACTTGGTATACGAAAGGCAGAAAGTGATCACAGACCACAAACTCAGACGCTACAGGCCAAAAAGTGTGTCAAACTAACTTCAAATAAACATTTTGAACAGATAACGGACAGTTGGGGAGGGGTCACAAAAATGCGAGGCGCACCATGTGGTTTTCTTTCTCCTGGGTGTTCACACTGCATCACACTGTTCACACTGAAACCTCAAACTCTGCACTGATAAGACTGAAGCTGAGTTAGTGAGCTACCATTTCGAAACGTATAAGCAAGAGTTTTAACTACTACTACTGACTAACATGCAAGGTGCAGTTAGCAAAAGCAAAATAAACTAAAAATAAACAAAAAGCTTTGGTTTATCTCATGATTTAGAGTCATGAAGGACTGCAAACACTAATCCCTCCTATGTTACAACTATAAAGGCCCGCTTTACCTTTGAACTGATTGGTTAGCGCAGAAACAACACAAACTTTTTGTAGCTCCACACAAAAAGTGAGCAACACGTGCCTCTCCAACTGAAAACAACAGAAAAAATGTGCCTCGGGTTGCAAACAAAAAGCATCCATATCCTTCTATGTTTGTTAACACAGGACAAAAGGTTTTGACTAAATGCCTGCAGCAAGTGCCCAACTGATTTGCAGCTCTAATCAGATCCACGTAATTCCCCGACTCACGCGGTCGTGATGGTTTGATCAGCTGAATCAGGTGTGTTACATTAGGAACATGTAAACGATTCAAAAACCGCCCAAAATTAAAGGCAACGTGAATCGGAAATCGAACGTGGTGCGTTTTTGTGTGACACGATATTGAGCTGGTGAATAATTGTGGGCGGTATGTGATTTTACCCGTTTGCGTTTGAATGGATCATCAGAAGCACGCTTTCCAAAACGAACATGGAATTAGACTCAACTTGCGCATGCACTGGAGAAGGAGGCCGTAATCCTGGTAGTACAGGAGGCTCAGGAGTACAAAGGGGTGGGAAAACATGCTATGATCTTATCGGTTAATATAATATAAGATCAGGGATGCACAATGATTAATGTAAAATTTTAGTGGTTTCAGTAAATAAGTGATGAAAATATAATATATAAAAAACATAATATATATGTAATTTACACCAATCAGGTATAACATTATGACCACCTCCTTGTTTCTACATTCTTTGTCCATTTTATCAGCTCCACTTACTATATAGGTGCACTTTGTAGTTCTACAGTTACAGACTGTAGTCCATCTGTTTCTCGAGTGGATCAGACACAGCAGTGCTGCTGTGCTACTGTGCCCACTCACTGTCCACTCTATTAGACACTCCTACCTTGTCAGTCCACCTTGTCGATGTAAAGTCAGAGACGATAGCTCATCTGCTGCTGCACAGATTGTGTTGGTCATCCTCTAGTCCTTCATCAGTGGTCACAGGACGCTGCCCACAGGACGCTGTTGGCTGGATATTTTTGGTTGGTGGACTATTCTCAGTCCAGCAGTGACACTGAGGTGTTTAAAAACTCCAGCAGCACTGCTGTGTCTGATCCACTCAGACCAGCACAACACACACTAACACACCACCACCACGTCAGTGTTACTGCAGTGCTGAGAATGATCCACCACCCAAATAGTACCTGCTCTGTGAGGGTCCATGGGGGTCCTGACCACTGAAGAACAGGGTAAAAGGGGGCTAACAAAGTATGCAGAGAAACAGATGGACTACAGTCTGTAACTGTAGAACTACAAAGTGCACCTATAAAGTAAGTGGAGCTGATAAAATGGACAATGAGTGTAGAAACAAGGAGGTGGCAGAATGTTATGCCTGATCGGTGTATATACGTATTATACATATATATATATATATAGTCATTTTGGGCCGTTTATTTTAGTCAATTCATCATGAAGCTCACACACAATGTAAAGGGCAACAGTCATTTTCAAATTATGTCAGATACTGAAAAATGCTCCTTAGAGAAACAGTGTAAGTAGGTTTATTTACCGAATCATAGAGTGCAGTATCGTTATCTGACAAGACACTGAAGAGAGATATCTACAGTATGCATTCCCTGTATAGCGCAGGATGCACATCACTCTTAAAAACCTTGATTTCATTCAACGCACACTGACACAACTCGTTGAATTATGACATCCGATCAAACGTTTCCCGTTACAGGCAATAACTACTGATGCGGCGATTGGGCAAAGTCGAGTTAATTAATTTCACCTCCAATTAATGTGCTGTTATCGTTTTCACAGGCAGCCGTATCTACGGGGGTTTTATTTACCGTTAAAGGAAGCAAATATCTGGGAGCATGCTAGATTGCATAAGTGTTCTTGACCTGAGGGTTCGACTGCCATTATGATGCCTGTTGCATGCCAGGCAACACAAAGGCAGGATAATGCGATTCCTACTGTGAAAAATAGCTAGAGACCAGACTCACCTCAGACAGGAAGGTCTGTGCTGATTTCTGAGCGCCGACATGTAGCAGGTACTCGTAGACGTATAAAGCTAACCTAGAAAAAGAGAGAGAAAGAGAGAGATACACATCATTATGCCTGAAGATGAAAATGCCTTACATTTGTACTAAACTGCTGCTGAAGAAGGAAGTTCCACAGGCTCAAACATAACGCCTTTCAAAGGAGCTATAAAGGCAGTTCATCAGGAATGACTTATTTTTTAAACTAAATCTCAATATACCGTATTATATTAGTAATATTAGGAAAAGAACCTGTGCAAGAGAAGTACAGTGACAACTCACTGACTACAATTTACAGTCTTTAAAATAAAATTAAATAAGGCTACGTTTACACAGCAGGTAAAAGTGGCCCAAATCTGATTTTCTCACCAAATCCGATTTTTTTGTTTGGCTGTTCACGTTATCTTTTAAATGTGATCTGCACGCGACATCAGTCTGAACAGATCAGCTCCTAAGCCGACCCGCATGCGCAAAAGAACAATGCCTCACGAGGCTCGTCCAGAGGTAGATAATAAATGGTTGACAGCTGAGCTCATCACCCACGACGTGTTCGAGTTCGCCATGAAAAGGGCCCGTTATTCAGCCACGGCCACTTCTTTGGTTCGTGTCCTCGGATTCTTTAAACTTTTTTTTTTTGACGCTGAAGCCTCGGGTCTCCACCGGCCGCGTTCGGCCGTTCCGTTCAAAATCAAACACCGAAACATCAGCCTAAATGTTTATGACGTAAAAGTCGCATGCATTCCACCGCATTGCCGCAGATCGGATACGTATCGGATTTCAGTACCCCAAATGAAAGCGTCTCAAATTGGAATTGAAAATGTCAGATTCAATGCGTTTTTTGCTGTTCACACCGACACACAGACTCACATCTGTGTCACATATGAAGAAAAAGATCAGATTGGGCCACTTTTACCTGCTGTGTAAACGTAGCCAAAATGACTCTCGGCTTGACGTACTGTTCTAGCCAAACACCTCTGTCTTCAACCCCTTAAATGGCCAGAAAAAATTATCACACACTTTTACAGCGCAAGAATAACTTAGTTTTCATAGCAGGCCAGGTAGTTACTGAACATTAAAGCCTTAGGATGTAACAAGCCAGGGATTTTCAACTGGTTAAACCTTAGAAAGGTTCTTCACACTTGCGCTTCTCAGCAACAAAAGTGTTTAAAAGTTCTTCAGGGAACCAGAAGTCAACTGGCATTGCTCTAAAGAACGCTTTAGGCACCTTTATTCTCAGGAGTGAGTGGAAAGAATCCGAAAGACTTCTGAAACCTTCACAGCGCTCAAGCCAAACTGGGCATTAAACTGGACAGTGTGACAACATTCATGCACACAAACCAGAAACATTAGTACTGAAACCCCGCATCCATTCCAGCTTCAACACTACAGAGTCCTCATCTGAGGCCCGTCTGCTTCGTAGAAGAGGGACACCCCAACAACCAGAGGAAGCACATCAGGAGTTGTGCCGATCAGCATTTTTTTCCCATCATTTTCCCCCAGTCATTACGTCTGTTGTTCAGCGGCTCGGGCCGGCAATTACCCTGCCTCCGGCGTACCGTGGCTGAGGCTGTAGCACTGCCCTGCTCTCTCCTCTCTGCTTCCATCTGTGGAGAAAATAGCTGTTCCTCTCGTGGCCAAATTGCAGCCAGAGATGCGCACAATTTTGGAAGGAACATAGCTTTTTGCCCGGCTGCAGTGCATGCATGGAAGAACGCTCGGTGAGCATGCTCCAAAAGCCTCGACGCAGAGATGATCTGAAGGGTTGTTCCATAAAGTTTAAAGTGTTTTGGAAGCATCTGAGCGACATTCTGCACAACACAATCAAACTGCCACCACACTCTCTGCGTCTGCGTGTTCAGACTGGTCACCAACGTCCTGAAAAGTCTGAATAGGTCTTTGCAAAGAGCAGTTAGGGCCATGGAGTCTATAGACATGCCTGTACAATAATGCGGCGCCAAGCACGTCAGACAGCTCAAGGTCACTTACGTTTAAAGCAAGAAAAATGTTTGTCTTGGAGATAAGCGTCAAACTAACGTAGTCGTTAGAGTGGATTTAATTGTTTGTTACTAGAAAGAACCAGAGTTTGACCAAAAACCTGGAAATTATCAACAAATACCAACAAATCCAAGTGTTGGGTTAGTGTGTTGTACCTGTGTGTGATTGTTGGGAGCTCCTAGAATGTTCTCCCCCCCACCAAACTGTTCTAGATTGCCCTTTCTGCCCCCATTCACAGTTCTAGATCCTTAAATTAATTTCAATGAACGCACGGTATGCGTCTTCCTTCATTGAAATGCCTCGAACAATGGCATGTCGTAAATAACAGCGGAGGGTTCTTTGATCAGTTGGTCAATGGCTGTGTTGATAAGGCAGCAGACAACAGACAGGAAGGAGTTTCACGCACATGCACACAGCAGAGGTGCGGGAGAGTGACCAGAATGGCAAACGCCTCCCACGGAGATACGATGGAGGGGGAACCTAACGACCGCCATAAAACTCGGGATGAAAGCTTCAAGCAAAAAACAAAACCCCACTCTAAAAGCTCCTGTAGTTACAGAGCAACCAATGGGGTCGGGGGTCTTCAGTGTTGTTGATCAGGACTGCATGATGCAAACACCACATCTAACTAAGATCTTTTAAAAATGTGCATTAACTGAATCCACAAAAAGAAAAACTCATTCTCAGGTCAGATGGTGCACTTTGGTTCAAAATACAGGGCGATTCAAAAAGATTCATCCGATTTCATTGATTTATTTCACTTTTAAATCATTACAGAACAAAGCAGTAAACTGTAAATGGTTTAAGTGAGCATAAAGTTGTACGGATAACAACACCATAGTGCAATTCATCCTATACTGGACCGAGCATGTCGGGTGTCGCTGCACTCACAGCTCTTTCAGTGCGATTTTGGAGACCATCCAGTGCTGTGGAGCCATCTACGAACACAGAGCTGTTGGAGGTTCACTGCCGACGAAAATCGCGCTGCACAGCTGATGACTGATTCACTCTTACTGAAGTGGAGAATGCAGAACGCTTTCTGCTCAGGGGGCTCCATCTAACAGTCAGAAACTCTATGACCCCTTCTTTCAATTGGTGTGTGATTGGTTCCTAGGCGCTTCACGTTTGTAAAAATATGGCGCTTTGAAATCGGATGAATCTTTTATGAATCACCCTGTATAAAGGAACATCTATAAACAGTCACTTCTGTGTTTCTGTGAAGTTATTTCTACTTAGAAACTCTACAGCAATTCCACAGAAGGCAACTTCGAATGAGAAGAAGATTACCAGCCTCATCACTGCAATAAGGGATTGGCAGAAATGGCATAAAAACAACCGTTTCAGCTAAACGTTAACTTCATTTTTTTCCCCTAGAGCCGTGAGCACAAAAATCTGGTTTCCAGCCAGGTTCGTATGTGATCCTAGATCATCACCATGGCCATGTGACCAAAACGAGAACAGTCAGAATCAGAGTTCACATGTAGGTTTTTAATGTCACACTTCACTGTATACATCACTGTGGTCATCATCCGGTGTGGGCAGCGAGTCAACAGTGAGTGACTTGAACTTTATGCTAAACTGTGCTCATGCGGGTCCTTCCAGGGCACAGGTGTGATCACTCAAATGACAGACGTGGATCACTTACAAACATGACTGTCAAAGATTGGATATGAGCAAAAACCCTAGGCTCGTAATGTGAACGCAGCCTTATATCTTTAAGTTAGCAAATAACTTGCAGGCCAGTGACAGTCAGGAGACACTACCGCAATTACTACTCGCTCAAAAAGACTGCGGATGCCAGGCCACGTGGACGCCTGGCCCACAGATGCCACTTTGCAGGGCAGTTTGTAATTTGGAAGGCACTTTGCTCCCAGGCTACCTTACACTGGATATGGGAGTCTACAAAGTGGGGCTGTACAACATGGACAAAATACTAGTATTGTGATTATTGTGATTAATCAAAGCACCCATAGAAACACTCACCCAGAACTAAGATATGTCAGGACGCTCACAGCACACAGTGCCTCCACTCTGACTGGCCTTCTGCAAAACCAGTAGTGCAAAAACTAATATCACGATAACGAATAACAAACAATATACTTGTTATTTACAGGCTCACTTAAAAAAAACAGGCCTGATCTTCTCACTGAAACATTTCTCCAATGCCTTCAATGAGGCAACACGACACTAGATCAAAACGTAGATTCCCAGGACTAAGGAGAGATCAAATTTTCATAGCAGGGAGGCCTATGTCATCTAGGAGGGGCAGGGGTGGGTGCCAGCGCCTGGCCCTACTACATTATTCAGCAACCTTCATTCAGCTGAGGATTCAAGGGGCCACCTCATGTAGCACCACCAGGGAAGTGAAGGCAAGGGGCAAGGAAACAAGGCCTGTATCTGAGATGAGAGGCAGAGAGATGAGAGCTAGAGCAATGGACTGAAAGACAGTCAGGTACAAGAGAGTTCAGTTTCGGAGTTCAGAGCTAATCGCCGAGAGTGACTGTAGTGCTTAATTTGGCTTTTTTTGTTTTATACTTGATAGAAGTGAAAATGAACCATGCAGATCTCATGGAAAACCACACGTTTTGTGTTTTGTGTTGTGCTATGAAAGTTCGTTACATTACTATCAACCATATTTAGGGCAGCGCACAACAATTAGTTGTATCTGGTGTTGTGTGCATTGAAATACGCTGCAAAAAAACAATGTGATATTTTATTCACAACATACAACCTTATTAACTTGACAACAAATGTTCTCAATCTACTTACTCTCTCTCTCTCTCCATATATATATATATATATATATATATATATATATATATATAACAGCTTTCGGAAGAAGTCAATGGAACCAGACTTTTTCCCAAATAAGTTTGGGTCATTTTCTTTGTTCCATTCATCATGAAGTTTACAGACAATGTAAAAGGTAACAGGTAAATTCGGTCTCACTTCATTTGGATAGTCCAGATAGATAGACTATCTACAGATGTTCAAATTGTTATCAAACTATCTGTTGAAACTCAGTAAATTCTAAACAGTGGT